GGTGAGTACATCAGGGTTAGGGTGAGCACGTCAGGGTTAGTATGTCAGGGATCTGTTGTGCTGACGTTGGCATGTCAGGGCTTCGGGTATTTTTCAAGGGTGGGTGAGTACATCAGGGTTAGGGTGAGTACATAAGGATTAGTACGTAGGGAGTTCTATTGTTGTCATGGCGAGGGTTGTTTTCAAGGGTTGTTTTCAAGGGTTGTTTTCGAGGGTTGTTTTCGAGGGTTGATATGTGAAAACTAGTGTGAGTTAGGGATATGAGTATGGCAGGGTTAGCGCGCTTACGTTACCGGAGTTTACCTGTGTTAACCTTCGGTTGCATCAGTCTTGGGTACTCGGCCCCTTCGCATGAAAATCGACATTTAAAAGGGAGGAATTTGACAGAGAAAACAAACAAAAAATTGACTTTTTTCTTATAATCAGATCGGTTCTTGGTTTGTGACAATCATCCTTGCCTTGCACAGAGATCACCCTAAGAACTCAATCGCCGCATCTTTTCCATAGTTTAATAGATTGCCAACGAAAAGGCGAATAAGTTCAAAAATGGACCCGATACATTTGCCTCTTTCTGGCAAACGCCAAGAGCTGGCGTCTCCTTTCCACCCCACAACACCCCCCCCCAAAACAAAACCCACCCACTTCATCCCTCAATCACAGCTCTTCCGTTCACTGATACTAGCTCGCTCACCGTTTCCTCGGGCATCTTTTCAAGGGTGTCCTTGAGAGAATGGAGAACCGACTCTATAACTTTCGTCTTCTCATAGTCCACAAAAACCTCCATGAGCATTTCCTTCACCTGCCAAAAAGAATGACATTTATTTACATCACACAGAAGGGGACAAAAAAACGACAAATGGACGCGTCAATAGCCTTATATGCACAATACTAATAAAGAATAATTGTACTGCCCTTTTGGGCCTTTTCTATTTTTTTGGGCACGTAAACCAGGACAAATGCTGCACATTTTCATTTATCATTAAGTGAACTGGTTTTGGCATTTGGTCTGAGATAGCGCAAACATGAAATCACCCGAATTCGTCTGCGTTGCAATGATCCCACACAGAGTGGTCACTCAACCCAACTTACAAACTCTACAACACTCATGCTTCTGTTTATCACAAAGTGCTTCTTTGATTGCACAAGAAATACGCAACAAATTGGAACAAAAAACATCATTTCGTCAAATCTGTAGATCTATTTTCCAACAAATTGAAAAATGCAATTATGTGAAAGGAATTCGCACTAGTTGTTCAGGTCGAAACAATGGTGCAGAGATTGCTAAAAGACTGAATGCAGAAAATATGGTCAAACATCTTTGCATGTGTTCTCAGATAAAATAGATTATGCTCAGGCACAAGCATCTACTCCTTATGGAATCTTAGGTGTCAAGTACAGCAACGATTCTGGCACACACGAGATGAGAAAACACAGCAAGACTATTTTATCATTGCCAATTACCGAAGTACAAAGAAATCGGGCCTCTTCTGCTTCGGCCGCGCCTCCAGATCCACAGCTCTCTTGCTCCCAGGTATGTAACTCTCTCTCTCTCTCTCTCTCTCTCTCTCTCTCTCTCTCTCTCTCTCTCTCTC